TACGTATCAGAGCAATAACACCGACTCGAACTACTGAAGGTAGACCACCTTTACTCTAGATTACCTGCACGTTACCAACATCAGGGTAACATTCAAACAGAAGGGGTGAGATATCGAACATTATAATAGAACACATGATAAGTAAAACATTAGAATCGGTTCATACATATTCACCACTTCTCAGATTTTTAACAACATAAATGCAATTAAAATCATTCACAACACAACTCAGAATGCAACACATAATACAACTCATCTTTATGCAAATGCATGTGGTACCAATGGAGCATAATTCCCATCTTAAAATCTTTCAATAAATAGAGGCATCAACAAGGCATAAGCCTTCTTCGCAGTTTTCCAATCCAGGCCATCATAGAGTATGCAAATGTATATGAATGCACTATCACATACTCACAACAATCATCATCCGTCATAAGGAATAAGCCCAAATCACCATTATTACCAGTAAATAGAGGTAATTCATTATCATTTAAAATTCCCTACAACTTCACATTATCAACAAGAATTTACAGTAGCCATCACAATAACAACTCGACATAAATCAACATTGGCCATCAGCCTACCACATCAATCAACGATTCAATTATTAACATAATCGAACAACAACTTAACAATAATTCACACAACACTGGTAACGACCAAAATATAGCATGTACGGGAAAAAAAGGGATAGGGAACTACGTGCCCCTCAACATGCATATCAACTAGGACAGCATAACAACTAATTCATACTCCTCGACACGCACAGGGGAAAACAAGATAACGACCAAGTCATGCTCCTCGACATGTCCTACAACCTAGTACTATTAGAAAATCCAACACCTAACCCCCGACACGCCTCGCAGCCTAAATGTCGCTCGGTACCTAACACCATCAGCGTCCTCCTCAACCACTAGTTCGGCCAACAGCACAGACACAATACAACGTCTTAACGACCATACCACTATAATTCATAACTTTCAGCCAACGTCTCAGAATAACATAGCAACGGGCAACTATATTTCCTATAACATGTTCATCAGACATACAAGACAGTCACGCTGAAACCTCCCTAAAATGACCACTTCAACAACTTACTACTTTTCCTACCAACCACTCAGAATAACTTAACGTCCTAACGACCATCACGACCAGAAATCAACTATCCTAACTTATCCATCGATTAAACAGGGCAGTTACATAGATAACTCAAAACGTCTATAACAAAGAACAGGGCAACTTTACATGTTCATTAAACGGTCATACAGTACTCCCCAACGACCACAACATGAATAAATAGGCAACTTCACTAGTAGATCAGAAACATCAATGCACAAAAATTATAAAACGACCTATTCCCATGTAATACATATCATAAGTCCCATTATCAGGTCAGAACCCCACCCTTACCTGGATTGAAGGTTGCTCAACCAAAGCTTCCAGCCGACAGTTTACTTCGCTCTTCTCGACACCGAGCAGCTTTCTCCTCTTCCGCTCAGCTCTACCGGTCAACGTACATAACTTCTTATTCTCCAACTAAAACAAATCCTTGTGTCAGCTTAACCTTATATATCAATCCTATTGGGCCTAACCTACACCCCCACTTTACTACTTCCAATCAATAACATACGTCCAACATTATATAAATATATATTTCCTTAATTCCAACATTATTATTATTATTGATAAACTAATTAATAAATTAATAATAATCCAACAACTTATACCAATAATTCTCAACATCTCGCAACTTCGCAAATAATCAAAAAATAATTTAATTAAATAATTAATTTAATTAAATTACGGGTGTTACAACTCTCCCCCATTTAGAATATTTTCGTCCTCGAAAATTTACCTTATTCGAACAACTCAGGATAGGAGTCCCGCATCTTGCTTTCCAACTCCCACGTCATGCTTTCTCCGGAAGCTCCTAGCCAAACTACTTTAACTAGAGCAGTCTCTTTGCCTCTCAGTCTTCATTTTACGATCTGCGATTAGTATAGGCATTGTCTGCACAGTAAGATTATCTCGTACTTGCACATCATCCATATGAATCACATGAGATGGATCTGAAATATACTTCCGGAGTTATGACACATGAAACACATCATGCAAATTCGAAAGACTAGGCGGTAAAGCCACTCTATAATCAACATTCCCAACTCTTTTCGAGATCTGATATGGACCAATAAAACAAGAAGTGAGCTTCTTAGACTTCAATGCTCGCCCAACACCAGTTACATATGTAACTCTCAAAAACACATGGTCACCTGCTTAAAATTTTAAATATTTCATTTGCTTGTCATGATAACTCTTCTGTCTACTTTGGGAAGATTTCATCTTTTCTCGAATCAACTTTACCTTCTCAGTAGTCTCACGAACAAGTTCAGGTCCAAGCACTACACTTTCTTCAGATTCATGCCAACTTAAAGGAGTTCTACATCTCTGACCATACAACGCCTCAAAAGGTTCCATCCCAATATTATAATGGTAATTGTTATTATAAGGGAACTCTATTAACGGAAGATAAGAATCCCACGAACCTCCCTGTTCAAGAACACATGCTCTCAACAAATCCTCCAACGATTGAATAGTCCTTTCCGTCTGGCCATCCGACTGGGGATGATACACCAAACTCAACCTCAACTTAGAACCCAACGCTTCTTGCAAACTCTTCCAAAAATCAGAAGTAAACCTCAGATCTCTATCTGACACAATGCACAAAGGAACACCATGCAGTTTCACAATTAGATAGTGTAAATCTCTGCCAACTTTGGTACTGGAAAACTAATGTTAATAGCAATAAAATGAGCCGACTTTGTAAGCCTATTGTTGTACCCCAAAATTTACCCTCTTTATTTCATAATTTTTAGGCTCATGTTTCATCATAATCATCATATTGCATTGCATTCTTTTCTTTGTGATGGGATCAAAGAATTTTGGTCCTCAAAGCTGTGGAAGATGGTTGTATTGTCAATTAATGTGAGGAGGTTCTCATATTCTCTTCCCTTTGATCATTCAAGCTACCAAGGCTTCTCAGGCCTCAGGATATCTCACTGATTCTTTGTTTCATCAGAGAATTGAAAATTGCAAGTGTTGAATCTTGAATTAAATCTTATCTCATTCTTTGGATTTTGTGCAAGGGCTTGATCACTGAAGTATATGACGTATCTCCTGTCAGAATTCTTAAGACATTGGCATCATGAGTATTGTCTCGTTGTTATACGACAACTTGGTTCACAAGATCAACAATGATTAAGGTTTTGATCATGGAGTTCTCTTCTCATCTAGTTTAGGGCTATTCTCCATCCGATTTCATCAATGTCAGAGGCTATTAGGGTTTATTTCCCTATGTGTGATCAAAGATTCAAGTTGATTCTAAGCAGTTAGCTCTCAAAGTCAACATTTCACAGTTCAAGATTAGAAGTTCACAAATTCTTCATTCTTCAATTTTTTTGATCGATTCTTTGAGAATATGAATCTCTTTGATATCCCCTTTAATTTATCTTTTCAAGTCAAGAGATGATTATGCGCGAAAGATCATCAATAATTTGAATACTTTAGAGGTCATTTTGTGGAGTTGGCCTAATTCCAAAAGATTGTTATCCAACTTGCAAGGATCGTAACTTCCTCAATTTTCAGTATTTTTGGGACAATTCTTTTTGGGCGGTATCACAAGTGAGATTATCTACAAGTTTTCTTCAAGGGTCAAGTTCGAATTATGATGAAAAGGCCATGGTTTTTTTTTCTGGGACGTTATAGGACATTTTTATGGCTTTTAAGTTTCAAAATTTGTTTTGATTCTCGATTCATGATGCCTATGTCAAAGTTCAAGGATTCAAGTCCAATACCAATTCAAGGTTTAAGGTTCCGTCTTTCTTTATTATTATTATTATTATTATTATTATTATTATTATTATTATTATTATTATTATTATTATTATTATTATTATTATTATTATTATTATTATTATTATTATTATTATTATTATTATTATTATTATTATTTAATTCAAATTTATAGTCAATTTGTTTGCTATTTCTTTTACTCAAAAATCTCCACAAAAAAAATATGTTTCATTTCTATTCAAAAAAAATCTCAACATGATTTTATATTAACTTTTAGATTTAATTTTAATTTTAATTCAAATAGAATTATTATTATTATTAATAAAATTAATTTTTAATATAAAATCTTTTATAATTCATTTAAGACATTTTTATTGTTATTATGATACTAACCAATGATTATAAGTACTATTAGTATTATTCTTGTAATTACTAACATATTTATTTTCTATTATTGTCATTTTTTTATTTTCTATTATTATTATACTTTTATTGATGTCTAAAAATAGGAAATCAGGAAATTGCATTGGATGAGACCACCCCAAAAGCTCACATGGTTTTACACCAGGAAGTTCACACGATGACACTAGAATGCAGAACCAAATTCATTCAAATTCAGATTTTTCATCTTAATCTTAAAGCTCACACTTCTCATGCTTACAAACAAACACAAAAACTCCTAATCTTCACCATTTAATCTCATAACTATCTAAGGCTGAAAATTCCTCCCTCTCTTTCACACGAATCCAGCCTCTTTTGGTTCCAATTCTCCCTCCAAAATTTCATTCTCCACACCTATATAAACCACACTTCAGATCACAAGAAGGGGGGAAGAAAAATTAAAAAGCTAGAAGAAGTTGAAGAAAACAATACTGTCAAAAATAATTTTCCCGAAGCATTTCTTCATCGCAACAACCTGCAATCCCAACAAAAGATACCAGATTCAGATTAAAGTATAGCAGAGAAAGAGAAGATTAATTTTTAAGCTTACCGTCGCATATCAGAATCATATATTCTCTGGATTTCTCTTCTTTGATTCTTCAGCATAAAAAACTCAACAACTTCCGACAAAAATCTCATCGTCGTTGGTAACTTTTTCTCCTTCCATTTACATTTGTTATGATTATTGTGTTTGAATGTTGTAGTTTTTGCTATGCTTTGTTGTTACCTTCATATTTCTGCAAGAGATGAGCAGCGTATCTTGTTGTTACTATTAAATCATGCGAACTTGAAATCGAACCGTAACCGTGAGAATAGTCGAAACAGAACATAAGTCGTTGTTGTTCGGCGACCGAGGATAACATGTTTTGAGCGATGAATGGAAACAGAGGAGGTATTTTCATAGAGGAGAACGGAAAAAGATGAGAGGATGAAATTTTCTTGTGTTTAGCCATGATATCGTGAGAAAGAGAGTTAGGAATTGAAAGAGAGAAATATGATTGTTATTGTTGGTTTAGAAATTGAGACAGATGAATACATAGGATTTGAGAAGGATGAATGAGTTGTTGTTGTTTTTGTTTTTGCAAGACCGTCGCGTAACAGACTCCCTTACCCGATCTCTACGGTCGCAAGACCGTGATTTCATCCCTTTTGGTTTTCTCGATGTTTACCTTTCCCTTTCGGTGGGATAAAAGACGTTCGGTGGCGACTTAATTGATTTTATATCAGATGATAGCTCGGCCGGTTGTTTCACCTATCAACAATCACCCAAATTGAATCATGTCCTCTTAAAGTGTTAGGTAACCCCGTCACAAAATCAATCAAAATGCTATCCTATTTCCATTCTAGAACTTCTAACGGCTGCATCAACCCTGCAGGCTTCTGATGTTCAACTTTCGACTTCTGACAAGTTAAACATACGTACACAAACCGAGCCACATCACTCTTCATCCCAGGCCACCAAAACAAATTCTTCAAATCCTGATACATCTTTGTAGCTCCGGGATGAATACTCAACTTGCTCCTATGACTCTCTTCAAGAATCACTTTCTTCATCCCTGCATCATCAGGAATACGAATTCGATTATGAAATCTCAACACACCTTGCACGTATAACTTAAAATCACTATTCTCAGACTGATCGATCCCAACCATCGAATCTAACAGTTTCACATCTAACTTATGAGCTTCTCTAATACTATCCAGAAATTCATTGTTAATCTTCAACATTCCCAACATAACACTCCACGGTGTCACCTCACAAACTAAGCTCATATCTCTGAACTGTTCAATAAATTCCAACTCTTTAACCATCATTGTTGACATATGTAAAGTCTTTCGACTCAACGCATTAGCTACCATATTCATTTTTCCTGGATGATAATTCAAATTGAAATTATAATCCTTTAACAATTCCAACCATCTTCGTTGTCTCATATTTAATTCCTTCTGATCAAATAAATACTTTAAGCTCTTATGGTCACTAAACACTTCAAATCTAGAACCATAAAGATAATTCCTCCAAATTTTCAACACAAAAACAATTGTAGCAAGTTCTAAATCATGTGTAGGATAGTTCTTCTCATGAGTTCTCAATCGCCTTGACGCATAAGCAACTACCTTTTCATTCTGCATAAGCCCACCTCCTAAGCCCATCTTAGAAGCATCACAATATACCACAAAAGGTTCTCCTGGATTAGGTAATGTCAAAATTGGAGCCGACGTCAATCTTTTCTTCAACTCTATAAAACTTTCTTCACACTGAAAATCCTACACAAAAGCTCTACCTTTACAAGTCAACTTAGTCAATGAACGTGCCAACTTAGAAAAACCTTCGATAAACCTTCTACAATAACTAGCTAATCCCAAAAAGCTTCTAATCTCGGTAGCCGACTTCGTAGTTTCCCATAACAACACAACATCTACCTTCGATGGATCTACAGTAATGCCACTACCTGAGATCACATGCCCAAGAAAACTAACCTCCTTTAACCAAAATTCACACTCAGACAGTTTTGCATACAAATTTTTCTCTTCCAAAATTGCAATACTATTCTTAAGTGTTCTGCATGCTCTTCTTCCGACTTAGAGTAAAAATAAAAATGTCATCAATGAACACCACTACAAATCGATCCAAATAAGTATGAAAGATACGGTTCATGTACTCCATGAATACTCCTGGCACGTTAGTAACACCGAAAGGCATCACCGAATACTCATAGTGTCCATAACGCGTTCTGAAGGCTGTCTTCTGGATATGTTCATCCTTCATCTTAATCTGATGATAACCCGGCCTCAAATCAATCTTACTAAACACACGAGCACCCACCAATTGATCTATCAAGTCATCTATTCTTGGAAGTGGATACTTGTTCTTAACCGTCACTTTATTCAACTGTCTAAAATCAACACAAAGCCTCGTACTTCCATCCTTCTTCTTTACTAGCAATACTGGAGCTCCCCACGACCATACACTTGGTCTTACAAACTTCTTCTCAAGTAAATCTTCCAATTGCTTCTTTAATTCTGACAATTCAGATGCAGACATCCTGTATGGTGCCATATACACAGGTCTGGTACCATGTACAAGATCAATAGAAAATTCAACCTCTCTCTCTGGCGGTACATCAAGAATTTCTTCAGGGAAAACTTCAGGAAATTCACGCAATACTTGCAATTCCTTAATTATAGCTTGATTCTAGACAGATTACAACGCCATCAATGAGAACATCTGAACTTCTTCTTGCATCAACTGCCACAACTGTCTAGCAAACAAAAGACTATCTTTCTCTTCTTCAGGAGTAGAAAACCTCACAGACTTATTATAACAATTAATATGGACATAGTTATGCTCTAACCAGTTCATACCCAGAATCACATCCAACCCTCTTAAAGGAAAACAAACCAAATCAACAGTAAAGTCTCTGTCGAAAATTGACAAAGGACACTTTAAACACACAAAAGAAGTGGTCACCGACCCCTTGGCTGGAGTGTCGACGACCATCTCTCCATTCATAGAAGACAACATAAGACCCAATATTTCAACATAATCAGTAGCAATAAAGCAATGAGTAGCACTGATATCAATAATAGTAATTAAAGGAGTACTATTAATGAAACATGTAACTCTGATGAGTCTGTCCTCAGTAGCTGTCTAATCCCCAACCAGAGCGAATACCTTACCACTGGTTTGCGCCTTCTTTAGTTTCTGACACTGACTACCGATGTGTCCTTCTTCACCATAATTAAAACAAATCACATCCTTATGCTTGCACTCAGATACAACATGTCTAGTCTTACCACAATAGAAACACCTCTTCACCTTAGCAGTACACACATTACTCTTATGCCCAGGTTTTCCATATTTGAAACAAACCACACCGGCAGGAGCATCTCTCCCATTAGTCCTCTGACCCTGAGCAAATTTATGTTTACCTTTACCAGCTGGGGAATCATAAGGCTTACCACGATTTTGTTGGTGCTTACCCCTCTTCTCATTGATAATCTTATAGTGAGCATTATTACCCTCTTCATAAATTCTACAACTATCAATCAAATCGGCAAAGACACGAACCTTCTGGTATCCAACTTCCTTCTTGATCTATGGGTGCAACCCATTCTCAAACTTGATGCACTTTGAAAACTCAGCATTTGCCGCACTATAGTGCGGATAAAACTTAGCTAACTCAGCAAACTTTGCAACATACTCAACAACCAATATACTCTCTTGCTTCAGCTCAAGGAACTTAATTTCCTTCTTACTACGAACATCTTCAGGGAAATACTTCCTCGGAAATTCCCTACGAAACACAACCCAAGTGACATTTTCCCTGTAGTTTGCAACCTCTGACACGTCTCTAGCCACCAGTCATTAACTTCGACTGCTAGCATATGAGTATCATATCGAACCTTTTGCGCTGGAGTGCAGTCCATCATACGAAAGATTCTCTCAATCTCTTTCAACCAAGCCAACACTCTGTCACGATCATACTTACCCTTGAACGTAGATGGATTCTCCCTCTAAAAAGATGCCAAACTATGCGATCCAACATTCTTATCCGTGTTCGGCTGATTCTCTATAGCATGCACCATTGCTTCTAAAGCAGCAGCAAGTGCAACAACATTCCTTCCAACCATCTCAACTTATGACTACAACATAAACAACGGTTAGAACTCAAATTAACAATACTCGATTGTTAAACAAAACTACGACTCGACAACTTGGTCGGACGGACCGACTAGCTCTGATACCAACTTTGTAACACCCCAATTCTACCCGACAATATATGTAAATCAGAGTTATAAAAATTCCACATTTGAATCAGGATGTCACAAATTTGAACTTTAAAACAACAAAATTCATTACCGGTACATAACACATTAAACTTGGATGAACCTACAGTAAAACATAATTTAATCTTAAAAGAAACATCAACTTTCATAACTACGCAGTGGAGTCATAATATTCAACTTAAAAGAAATGTAACATCTTTGTCCAATTAAAGCGACTTCGAATCGCAATCATTTAAAGAAAAATAACTTAAAGTTCAATAAACTGAAATAATAAAAACAAATAAACAGCAAGCGTTCATCCCCCTGAGTGTTACGTATCAAAGTAATAACATCGACTCGAACTACTGAAGGTAAACCGCCTTCACACTAGATTACCTACACGTTACCAACACCGGGGTAACATTCAAACAGAAGGGGTGAGATATCGAACATTATAATAGAACACATGATAAGTAAAACATTAGAATTAGTTCATACATATCCACCACATCTCAGATTTTTAACAACATAAACGCGATTAAAATCATTCACACCACAACTTAGAATGAAACACAGAATGCAACTCATCTTTATGCAAATGCATGTGGTACCAATGGAGCAGAACTCCCATCTTAAAATCTATCAATAAATAGAGGAATCAACAAGGCATATGCCTTATTTGCAGTTTGCCAATCCAGGCCATCACAGTGTATGCAAATGTATATGAATGCACTATCACATACTCACAATAATCACCATCCATCGCAAGGCATAATCCTACATCACCATTATTACCAGTAAATAGAGGTAATTCATTATCATTTAAAATCCCTTGCAACTTCACATTATCAACAAGAATTTACAGCGGCCATCACAATAACAACTCGACATAAATCAACATTGGCCATAAGCCTACCACATCAATCAACGATTAAATTATTAACATAAACGAACAACAACTTAAAAATAATTCACACAACACTGGTAACGACCAAAACATAGCATGTACGGGCAAAAAGGGATAGGGAACCACGTGCCCCTCAACGTGCATGGCAACTAGGACGGCATAACAACTAATTCATACTCCTCGAAACGCAAAGGGGAAAATAGGATAACGACAAACTCATGCTCCTCGACATGGCCTGCAGCCTAGTACTTCTCGAAAATCCAACACATAACCCCT